AGAAGGCATCATCGAAGACGGTCGTTCATTTGGAGATTTTGAGAAGAAGTGGTATGATGAAAATTATTAATGGACTACGTCCAGGTAATTACTTCGATACACACTAGACTCTGAGAGTTTTAGCCTGCACACATACGATTTTGGGTTCAGATCGCACGGTCAATGTATAATCCTTTTGATACATCGTTTTTCGTACGGAAAGCATGCTTTCTTTGGGACAGTTATTTTTTAACAGAAAAAGTTGGCGGTGCTTAGAGTAGAGAGTCCACTTTTCGGGTAAAAAGTGTGGGCTTCAACTCCAGTCTCTTTCCTCTTTCTGGCAGACTTGTCTCTGAGAGAAAACGCATTTCAGTTTCGATGAAATTGGTCTTCTATTAACTGGAACTCTTCCGAAATTATCAAAGAAAAAGACCTATATGCGGTTAATACACGTACTGGGTTTACCCAAATTTTTTCTTTTAAAATCATTCTATAAGACACTCATTATTCTGACCATTCTGTACGCTTTCAGGCTTTCGTCCACCTCACAGAAATACTGTACAAGGATCACTCAGACGTTTATATAACAATAAAAGAAGTGCATTGAAACAACAGTTGAAACTTGTTTCAAATCTGTGTATTACTACAGACTTTTGGTCTGATAAAAGAGCCAAATCTTATTTGGGTAAGCGTGAGTGACAAGATATACATTTCTCGATGCAGCTTTTGATGCCGATTGTACGTTTCTTTCATGTTGAAATTATTTGGTGAAAAATACCTCCTTTCTGAACGTATAACCTTCGGAACGTATCAGCATGGAACTGACTGTCGAATGGTGTACTTCAAATAGTTTTCGGGCAAGTTTTTTAACTTGCAGCGGTTTTGAAAAATCAGGTATTTCGCAGATCTCCATCTATTTATCCTCAACGCCGATATAGGTTTTCTTTTGAAGTATGAAGTATGTAGTATTCAAAGTGACCATACATTTCAGACCACTTTGAAGGTTCTACAACATGTCCCTTAGATATCAAAAGCTTTAGAATAGGAGCCACTTTCGCTGGAAAATGATGAAAAATCCTATGTTCCGCTGGGAATATATATTGCCTGTAATGTTTTTCAAAAAAGATAGAGAGCTGCGGTTTTTATTATTGAATTTAGCATACAAAACTTCGTTTATGGTTCGTTACTGGCAGCACAACTTTTGTATAATTGTGGTTTGTTTTGTAATTTATTCATCTAGTGTTAACGGGACATTTCGTTACAAATGACTACAAATTCAATTCAACAGTACTAAGTTTCACATCATTCAGTCAGCAACATACGGCCGTTAATATTAATGAGGCTATTAAACATGAATTACAAAAATTACACATTGAAAATAAAGTTAGTACAGTTACGGCAGATGGTGCTGCCAATATGAGATTGGCATTAGATGTATTGAACACAGATACAAAAAGAATTTGGTGCATGGCACACCGTCTCCATTTAGTCGTTACAAATGGTCTTTGTCTATGGTTGAAAAATCGCAGTAGTGGTGATGATGAAGATTTTTATGATGATAGTATGACATTAATTTCAACAGAAGATGATAATGATATTCAAAAAAATAGTTCAGCAACAACAATGAACAGTTCAAAGTATGTCAGTGTAGTTTATGTTTAGAAAGCTTTTGAAGAGTACTACTTCTGTTCAATGTTGCCTCTTACTTTGGTAAAGCTACCTTCCTGTTTACCGGGTATTATTGCAGACAGGTCTTTACCGCTCTAAACAAAAGATTTCTAGCACGGGTTAAGTGTGTTGAACTAATTCAAAATACGAGGGCGTTAGGCAGTGGTTTAATTTACGCAGACTTGAATAAGCAAAACGAAAAATTCTTAAATAATACTCAGAAAAACTTTTTGCATTGAATTATACAGCACATAAAAGCGCCAGCATTATACAGCGCCTTTCCCGCACTTCAAAAAGTTGCAGACGGAAATATCTTTCGGGAGAAACGGTGAGCACTAACGTAGATGGATGATTTTAAATGGGAGAAATGCTCAGAAATATCTTAGAAAATTGAAAACGCGACTGGAATAAGTTTTGGTTTTATAAAACTTGTCGAGCTGTCCCTGCCAGAAACTGCACGTCTATCATCGTGCACATTTTTGATAAAACTATTTTATTCTGGAAATGCTGACACTGAAAAAAAATGAGTTTCGTTGACGCTCGGATGCGCCATATACATAGAGAAGAGACTACATTCAATTTGATCCTTTTTGTCAAAGATTTTAAAGAAATATAGAGCCTCTAGCATTGGAGCACACTGAATTGCTTTATAGTCATTTGTCTTTCAAATCTCTGCTATTCTAGTCAGCAACAAGATTATAACGATGGTGAGATTATAATGGATATAGGTAAGGGAGATAGTTCGTTAGAGGAGGAGGATGACAATGATGATGAAATAGAAGATACCGATGATGGAATGAACGATCATTGGGATGAAGGTGTGATATGTGAAGAAAATGGTGATATAGCAACTTCTGTAAGATCGACGACTGGAACAACAACAACGGAAATAACATCAGAAGAACAAGAATACATTGGTGCCACGGTTAAAAAAATGAGAACAATTACTAAAATGATTACTAAGTAAATATGTAATATGTTTTTGCCAGAGAATTGCAACCCGTAGTGCGCAATGTCACAGAAATCACTGTATAATAGAAAACTGTGCTAACGTCTTCCTACACGGACTGCAGAAGATTAACTGAATAGTGTTTTTCACTTCGTCTTTCAAATATTCAGTCAAATCAAAAGGAACAAAGCTCAAGAGAACATCGAATTTGTATTGCTCTGCTTATACTCAGACTCTCATGCAATTTTCCAGTTTCATTTTCGATTTACGCAAGAAATTTAGGCTCATAACGGATACCAAAAGAGAGTTTTTTAAAGTGTTTTGTCTAAGTTTTGGAGTTTGCCTAAAGAATTTAGTTTCAGAATAATTTTTACTAGCTAGTTACTGTCTCCTAGCTTTTTAGCGATTTGCACAAAAAGAAAATTTAGCTAGCATTGAGAGCCAAATTTGTAGAGCGAAAAAAACGTCGTAAGAACTAATTCGTTATATGACTTTTTCTTGAGGAGCTATGTTGCTTTAAATGAAGTGTAGACTACCTGCCGGGGGTTTGGAAGACTAGTTTGCGTTCACAGGCCCCTCAAAAAAAAACCTCAAAATGCATCTCATTTTGAAAAATTAAATTCTGAATCGATCTAGATAGCTTTCGGCAGCGTCACTCCTTTTCATAGACACAACAGACACCGACAAGTACGAAAGAACCGCTACACGCTGGGTAATCAAGTAGGCATGTGGCGAAAAAACGAAAATGAACTTTTTCAAGATTTGATAGGAGGTCATATACCTCAACATATGCTCTGTTTAATTGCCATGGAAGATCTTTTCTAAGTGTCACGGTCACTGAAAAAACTGAGGCGGAAGTTTCAGTCAGGACGGTAAAAAAAATTCCGTTTAGCAAAGCAAAACACAACGTTTAAACAAATCATATACAGTCACAAAGTAAACATATTACTCGATATATTCATAAAAAAACCTATTTGAGACGCTCTGAAGCCGAGAAAATAATTTTTCTTTCTACGCTAAGTATTTGCCGAAATGGCCTGTCCAATAAAGTGAGCGTCCACCCTTCAATACCGCTCCAAATCCAATGTAACTTTTACAAAATCTGTTCTACATGCGGAACATCCAGAGAGTTGGCATAAAGGTGCCTAAATGCTCTTGAGCTGAAATACAGATTTTCCCAAAACTCTGAGTTTTCAGAGATTCTGCCGTTGTTTTCTGTTCTGAAGCACGTTTCCTCAAATGTAACGATATAGTTGAAATTAGCACGAAAAAATGCGTCGAATGATATATAACTTATTTTACTCCTGGCGAAAATTTTTGAATTTAATTCGATGTTAAGTTTTTCTGAGGTCTAGAATTTGAACAGATATTTTTTAAGGCCGCACTAAGTGTTACCGAACTCGGAAGAAAAAGAGAGAGAGGAGGGCGGTGCCTGATAAGAAAGACCATAGTACAATCAATCATTCGCAAATAGAAGTAAATCTCATTCAAAGTCTAACACTTTCAGAAAACTATTTTGTTTCAAACATGTATAAAGTTATTGTGGATAAATCTCCCTTCAATAAAACATTTTTTCACCAGCGGAGGAAGGTGGCAGGAGTTGAACCTGCGTCTTTCACCCGCACAGGTGGCACTCTACCGTTGAGCTACTCCTTTTCCGCAAATAAAAAATGTTTTATATAAAAACTGTTTAAGATAAATACTTGTTTGATAGAAGCACATTGAATGCGTTAGACGCATATGAATGGCTTCAACTTTTCCCCTTTACTCTCAAATTCGAAGTGCTCGACACCAATAATATATTCTTGATTGTACGATACTTAGCTTTTTACCGTTACCACTCTTCGATTTTCTGTCCAAAAATTGGTGCACGTTCCAAAAAAATCGGACAAACCTTACTTGAAGAAGCTGGAATTGTAGTTCATCGTCAAAAAAAATATTGTTTTAATCTTTGAAGCAATAGTGCTTTTAATTTATCCAAATTAGTCGATGAACACTTGTATCTTCAAGATATTCCTTAATCTGAATGATTGCATTATAAGCTGTACTGATCGTAGAATAATGTTGACCAGAAATAAATTCTGTAGCGAATTTAAATGGACGCAAAACTGTTTCGATGAATCGTGCAATCCTCGAATCATTCAGAAATATGATTGTGGGATCCTGGAATCCCGGAAGCTTGGAATCCTCGAGTCGCCGAATCCTTGAATCGTGCAATCCTCGAATAATTCAGAAATATGATTATGGGACCCTGGAATCCTCGAATCCTGGAATCATGCAATTTTCGAATCATTGAGAAATATGACTGTGGGATCCTGGAATCCTAGAATCCTCGAATCCCGGAATCGTTGTATCGTGCAATCCTCGAATCAGTGAGAAATATGATTCTGGGATCCTGGAATCCTGGAATCCTTGAATCGTGCAATTCCCGAATCATTGAGAAAT